ACGCAAGCTATCACATTGCTCTCCATGGATTAATAAGAAAACCCGAAAGCTGTTAAAGCGTAGGAAACATTTCTGGGACTTATTCTTGTTGACAGGTCATGCACCATTTAAGCGTGAGTATCAAAAATTCCGTAATATCTGTAAGAAAACCATAGACAAATCCCGTATCACTTACGAACGACAGTTAGTATATGATAGCCATACTTGTCCGAAACGATTGTTTTCGTATGTTAAACGGCGAATGAAACGTAGTGATGGTATTCCCCCGTTACTGTTACACGAAAATTCAGATTTACTAGCTGAATCAGATCGAGCAAAAGCCGAGACTTTTTCAGACTTTAAGAGAAGTCTTCTCTACGTTTATTGTAACAAATACTTGTCCCACTCACACCGAGATACCAACCATTGAATCTGTACAGGTGACTGTGGAAACTGTCCTTCCGTTGATAACTAACCTCAAACCTGGTAAGGTACCGGGCCCTGACGGGTTACATCCACGGTTGCTGTTATCTCTTGCGGACATTATTTCAAAACCGCTCGCGATACTCTTCAACATGTCTGTTTCACTCGCTGAACTCCCTAGAGATTGGAAAGACGCTATAGTCAGTCCTATATTTAAGGACGGTCAAAGAGAGATAGTATCTAACTACCGGCCTGTCAGTCTAACTAGCATAGTCGTTAAGTTACTTGAAAAGATAATTCGGGTTAGGTTGCTAAGCCACATGGATTTACACAATCTGTTAGCTCATGAGCAACCCGGATTTCGTAACAAGCGTTCATGCTTGACTAACTTATTGCGAGGGAGGATTGGACAACAGCCCTAGATAACGGTCTGTCTGTCGATGTGATATTCCTAAATTTTAGCAAAGCATTTGACAAGGTTTCACACGTAGGTCTTATGCAGAAGCTCACGAGCTTCGGAATATTAGGTACACGAGGTGACCTTATACTGGCATTTCGGATCTTTAATTATGATTTGGGTTTTAATATGTCTTCTTTTTGCTCCCTCTAGCACTAATAATCTCCGAGGTCATAGCAAGAAGGTTCGTAAACCACAATCTAATAAACTTAAAGTGGGATCCCGTTTTTCTCATCGAGTGGTCAATGATTGGAACGCCTTACCCGAACAAGTAGTATCAGCCCCATCAATGAATACTTTCAAAGATAAGCTGGACCTTCACTGGAAAGCAATGTGTCAGGATTAATACAGGTTCACCGACCTACTATCCTTATTACTGAAGACTGGTTGTAGACAATCACTTCCTGCATGAACTACAGAAAAAATCGGCCTATAATTAAAGATTGTGCCAGAAAAGTGCGGAACTACGCAATAAAGTGATCGTGTCATCTATAGAAGTATAGGGAAAGTCCACAGAAGTTACAATTCTTTTGGTACTTTAAATTAAGACCATGGAAAATAAATATTTTATCATATATCATATGATATACTTCAGTAAGAACAAAGCTGAATAAATCCCTCAACGGAGAAAAACGATCTGCGTAACTTGTCCAAAATTACGGATAGTGATCAATTTTTATATATTATTACAAGTGTTACTGTTGTCTAGATTTTCTTAACGTTTATCTCATCCCCACGATACTGATGGTTTAAGGTAGATCAAACTAACACCTGTTCTTGGCCCTACATCTAAACTAATTGGGTTCGTCGACCGCTTCATTTAATTTTTTCAAGTCTCTTGTGTTAGTGTCTGATAAAATTCCAACACGGATTCCGAAAGCTACGATGACCTTCATCAGCTTCCGTTATTTTTGGTGCAAACGAATTGTCCGTCTTGACTAAAGTATGAGTATACTGCTCAGTGGTTCCCTGTGTTCTGCTTTATGATTGTAAAACTTTGCCTTTAAAGACAGGACATTCAAAGAGCAAATACAGTGTAAATATAAAAGTTGAGGACTGAGAGTTGTTTTACAAGTTGTTTTATAGTCGAGATAGAATGTAGTAGGTGGCTTAATTGTAAAGGTTATTTAAAATGACCATACTTGATAAGTGGAATATTGTTAATCAACGTGGCTTCTCATATTGCATGTAGTATGTACTTTGTGAAACATACACGTCATTGAGCAACTTGACATCTACACAACATTTTTGTCTTATTTGTTTAGTTTTTGAATGACAATTATGATCACACGAAATAATCTTGGTCTCTTCCTTTGGAAGAGTTATTTTAACTTCGAAGTATCATTTCTCCAAAAAACTGTTGTGGTTATACATGGCGATGACTTTATTCATTTTATATTGAAGAACGTAATTGGTTTTAAAGATAATAATCATAATGAGTTCCTTCTTTTCTCAATGACGGCTTCTAAGTTGATAAGCCAAGTACAAATGTGTGACATTCAACCACTCTTCATTTTTGATGGTTGCACTAAAGTTGGAGTAAGTTTTATTTTTAAATATATTATCTCTTCAAGAGAAACTTTTGTTGCAAATATTTATGTGTCACTCTCTGTATTATCTTTATTTGAATTAGTCCGCTAACCCCTGTCAGCCCATCATTTAGAACAGCTACATGATACTAATTTATCTATAAATTCAATCTCAAAGTCTTCACTTTTTCAAGACTACAGCTTTCAAACATTTTATTTTTAAGTCAACGGTTTGGAAGCTTTCTGGCTTACTGTCTTCCGGCTACATCAATTTATCCACCGATATCTCGCTCACGTAAAAGAAAACTCAATAGGTATAGGTAAACATTCAGAACTGTCATTAGAGGTTGGCCTACTCCAGTTTTTAAACCAACTACTCTGTCCCCTAATCTGAAATCAAGCAATGTAAACTTGCTACGTATTCATAATGACCGTCAGTATATCCAAACTTTACTTGACCACTTAATCGTTAGGCTAAATATGTTGATAAACGTATGTGATTTTCGTTCGATTCATTTTAAGAATCCATTAGATCTAATTGTGAAGTTATCTCGACTGAAATCAGAAGTTTTGTTCGTAAAGGTGGAACCTTAGAAAGAAATGAAAAACATTCTCAACTTGGTATGATGATATTTACTTACATGCTGATACTACCACATACAGTCAACGTTCTGACTTGAGATGTACCAAAATATACAAGTTCAAAGTGTCACATTTTAAAACAGCAAAATATTCGGATGAACAACTAGAATGTGGATCGAAAAACCATACAAACAGTGAGTCATGAGTTAGAATATTATCAAGTGTCAAAGTTGTTGCCACGTTGTGCCATATTTTAGGTCGCTAGTCCCATCAAAGTAAACTTTATAGTTTACGCTTCTTCATATTCACGTTTCCCCTGTTTTTTATTACATACCAACTAGCGTCATAATGTTTATGTTTACCTGTGTGTGATTCATTCAGTCAGAAACAACGTAGAACTTCGTACGTACGCGTATCAGTTCGAGTTACCATACCACATTACAACAGAGATACAATTGTCGATTCAAATTCCATAGTGGTAGAGGTAGTAAAAGTGTAAGCAGTAATAGGAAAGATTAGGGTTTGAAGATGTTATTCAGGGAGTATAATCCAGTGAAATAAATGTGGAAAGAGGAAAAAAGGAACATGAAGAATTCAGAAGAACACAAAGAGTAGATGCACCCGCACCATTGCAAATGACTTTGAGCCTTGTCATTCAGAGTCTTTTACTATCGGTTGCTATCATCTCGCGGTCCCCAACCAGGTAGTCTTCACCTAGCAACGTGACCCGGTCCACTTGTCAGTGACTTCGTGGATTTTTGCCATGTTTTGGTCTGGCCGCCCCTAGCTTTCTCCCAACCTGCACCTACACCTTTGTGTAATTAATATATTTCCATCTCCATACTACGAAAAACAATTAAGGGGAATCCAAGACCATAGCCTTGGTGGTAAGAAAACTTATTTCTGCTGAAATCTTTCGACTTAGCTTTAGATGAGCAGATAACTTTGTATTTTTCTGAGTCGAGTCAATTTACAGAGGTAAAACTGTTTAGTTAACGAATGTCGATTTTAAGAACCCTAAGTGTATATCATGTTTGTCAAATTTCTCATTGTTATGTCTGAATCACTGACAAGTCGATATAAGTTCTGTGTCCATGACGTTTACTCGACTAATTGGTTCGTTTTACTCAGTTTTAGTTGGAAGTCGCATTGGTTTCCTTCGTTAGTCAGTTTTAGATTCTCCAATATTTGACACGATTCAAACCATGAATCAATGCTTGTAAACTGAATTCCCAGACCTCTGCTTCATATTTGGATAACTACAAATTAAACACTAATGCTGTATCGCCTTTGCTTTCAAATTCCCTGGTACGGCCGAGAGTGGAGAGACTTCGCTCTCCCTCTCGAAATGCTCTCACATGGCAACGCGTATATAGCTTCTTCCAGGGAAGTCCTACTCACTACCTTCTCGTAGCGGGGGTGTTGTTTACGAAAATGAGAGGACGAAAAGCGAATGTTCGGCGCTTTAACCGGATTCCAAACCAATGGTGCACATGGGCTCCAGTATCCTGCGAGAACAAACGGCGTATGAACCAATTGTTGGTCACCGGCTTCCATGGGACTGCATCTCCTTACGATGCCCCACTGCCTTGTGGATCAGGTCGAAGGCTCGGGGAGTGGTCCCATAGGAAAACCACCTACTTCGGTTTGGGCACCCGGGCAGTATCACAGCCCTCACACATATCAAATGAGTTTTGTGTGGCGTATATGTATTTGGTGCCTCCTTGTACTAATATCTGTTAAAATACTAATAATAACACTACATATTTGTATAACAAACGCTAAATATAGTAATGTGTTTTTGTTGTATCGCCTTTGCCATTTTTTATCTAAGTATTTTGACTTAGATTTTCTTTGTCTCCTAACTTGTCTATTCGCTAACCAGTCAGTACTCCTGTTTTACTTCCTATCTCATCTTTCTTTTCCTTTTTCAGCAAAACCAATCACGCTACAATGATCAAATGTGGTCCGTAATCAATCTTTACAAATCATCATTTGCAGATGTGTTGTCGTTCTTTCAAATAAAATACATGACATCACTATACTCAGCTCAATTTGATGCTGCTTCATTATCCATATATTTACATTGTCCGTTAATAGCATCCAGTTATGATATTTACTACATGTTTCCTGCTCAAGCTACTAAAACTGAAGCAAATATTATGCAAGAATTAATCTACGTCCCGATCCATCTCCTAGATTTTTTTAGCTGCAAAGATGATGGTATTATTTTGTCTCATGTTTTCCACCAAAAGTTTTCTCGTATTTCGTCAGTTGTACCCCATTTACGACCTTTATTAAGTGTACTGTATGCTGGGCGATTTGAGGTACGTGCTAATGTGTGTAAGCAGTTAAACTATAGTACGACAGATTACTCCAACTACCCTAGTCCTCATTTACATGAATGGTTTGTTCTAGTTAACTGGTTGATAAATTCATCCAATGTAAATTATGTTACACTTTATGAGTATGTTATTCAAGCACATCGTACTGAAGAACGAAAAAGTGTGACTGAGTATCTTCTGGATTGTATTGCGGTTTTTATGGATAATGTTCTAGAAAATGGACTTGAAATAGCATCTCACTTTTGTTTAGTAAACTCCAGTTCCAATGTACCTAAGGGTGGTAGGCTAATTGAGATTAGTGAAGAAACTAATGCTCCAGTAAGCTCACAACATATGGATCGTCTGACCAATCAACTCAACGCCAAACAGCCAATAAAGTTCAATTTTACTCATGATTGGCCTCGTAATTTGACAGAACTATATCGAAAGGTTAAACTTTCTCCAGCTATTATTGATATTTTACACCACTCCATTAGAAAGCCGTTTCTGTCAGTTCATGCTTACTCCGTCAATTTACGCCTACTTGTTTACCGAATTCTTTACGGAGTAGAGCACTGTGCAGGTGTAGAACTAAATCCAAATATAACTGAGTACACATGGGTCGGTGATGATATGTTAACCGAGCTCCCTCTCACAATTAGTCCTCTTATGAATTCAAATAAAAGTAATTCAGTTGATGAAATAGTAAGCAGTCAGTTGAATATTCCTCTTCCGCAACACACACCCCAACCTGATTGGATTTTTACTTTGGCTGTAACTTTAGCAATTTGGCATCAACAACATATCAGTAATACTGACGAAGGCCATGAACGTCATTTCGAAAATTCCCCAATTGGTTTAGCTATTGCAACTTGCGTTGTAGTCAATGTTTTCAATATTGATTTCATGAGTAGCAATCTACATGAACATTACACACGGTGGATTGACTTCATCAGAAACGAAATATCACTTGCTTCCGAACGTGCTTCGTCACTACATCAGTCTCCATCATCTTGTACGAACAAACCGCCCTTCGGTAAATAACAATTCTAATGAAATCTCTTGGACTGGTACTATGGTTTTACCTTACCGCTAAGGTACAACAAAGAAATTACAATGGATATAAAAACCTTACAAAATTAAAGCTTTCTGTGAGACAATTGACACCCTCAGAAACGCTTTACTTAGAATTAAAGATAAAACCCCACTCATTTCCACTAAAAATTGTGTCTATAGATTAGGCTGTATCGATCGTGATGTGTTCTATATTGGAGTCTTTCCGTGAGATCTCGACTCGTGCCAAGGAACATTTAAGTTATACAATTTAAATCAACAATAGCAATGCGTTATTTTCAATAATCACTAAGTTGGTATCAAAATAACTCAGAATGGCTTTTCCAACTACCACAGAGAGGCGAGTAGCCAAACTGTGCCCTCAATAGGAAAGAAGGACTGAATATTTATCTAACCTGAACTTTTTTTTCAGACAAACATACTTGACTTTAGTTTTATTTTACAATTTTTCTGTTCATTGGGATATAACAAAAATATATCTATTATTAAGATTATACATGTTTGAATAAATGACTAGTGAGTGATGTATACTTGAATTAATTTTTAATGTCAGTTGATATAGTGAGAGAGAACTTAGAATAAAACTAGATAAAGTAGGATGAGAGAAATAATTGTGCATTAATCAGTCAGATAGGATACGCAACCAAGGAATGCATAATTCATGAATATGGACGAAATAAGGAGTAATTTTGTAGTGAGCGAAAACTTGGTGGAAAAACCAATTTATTATTTAACGCGAAATTACAGAGTGCCTTTATAATGTATGAAAATCATACATTAAATAGATTATTCACACACATCCCTTCAGTTGTCCTTTACAAGCTTCAGGGTTCTTTCAATTCTGTTGTTACTTGCTACCTCTTGTTTCAGTAAATCACATCTGTTACTGCTACATACTACTTATACCTGTCAGCATAAGTAGCATGCACCACAATATAACGGAATTAGTGGTAGATAAACTGAAGTTTAGTCAGTACATATATCCAAATGGAACAGGATGTAATGCAATACAAAATTGAACGGAGTAACACAATGGTATAATTCTATTCCACAAACAGGATACAATAATGGTGTATGAACAAGAAATTATTATTGTTCGTATGTGTAGGTGCAAAGTAAAGGGTATGCTTATAATGATACACTGGACTGTCACTTGAGTACATTCTAGCCAAATGTCTTACATGCTGAAATCTGTTTCCATTTAAGCAGTAAATAACACCAAAATTTCCACGCCATAAAGTCACAGTATTTCAAGCTTAACAGTATATTTTGATCTACACTCAGTGATATAACATAATTTAATATTTCTTCCTGCATTGATCAAAATACATTTAGATTGTAATTGATTGATTACTAGGTAGTGACCGATGTCATGAACTCTTCAGTGCAGATCGAATCCTATCGACTACGTTGCAATATGGGTACTAGTCTAGGTGACTTAACGTCGCGTGTAATATGTTAAGATGAGAGGGTGGTTGGTGGTAGTCGACAGGAAACCCATAACCTAGATTTCGTACTATTTGGCACTTGTCATTAAGGTGCACCTGTAAACCTGAGATAACTGATGCTTCATGATGGATATATTTAAAATTATCCATATCGAAGATCCACGGTTTCTTACTTCGAAGAAATTATTTCCTTTTATAAGTTTCGATAAAGCAATGGGGAGACGTAGCTGACCTGAAAATTGTGATGTATTTGCGCTATATATTTCAAATAGTCTGTTTACACATATAAATGTCAAGTATTTTGTGTCAAGATTTTGAATGTATCTTCCCAACGATTGAACCCCATGACAAAGGTGTTTCCACTTTCAAGGTTATAGTTGGATCCTGGGATGCTGCTGGCAACTGCATTACATGAAGTACTTGAAAGAGCGCGTGAACACGAGCAGTGGATTCCAAGGTTTGGATGGAAGTAGGAATCACAATAAGAAAAACGTTAGTAGATTTATAGTTTTTACATGAGAAGATTCTAGAGCGCTTTCCAAGTACCCAGTGGTGCCGATGGGTTAGGAAATAGCCAATCAGCGTGCCCTGATACAATCCTGCACAGAATATGTCTTAATCCAATCTATATCTCGCTAACAAAATAATCCCAGAAAAACTAGTGATATTTTGTTATTTAAAATTATGGGAAGAAAATACAAAATTAGTTTCATTTTGCCAAATAAGTAACAATAAGAAAACTAATATTTGGAGAAATTAAGAATCAAATGTAAATGTTTGTACAAAATAACTTCACTGATAATCATAGTTTGTGATGGTTACATCATATGACTAAAGCAAGAACAATCAATGTAGCAGAATAACATGAATTCATCATATTTCACGGTTTCTCGTTAGCTACTTGCAACCTTAACGTAGTAACACTAATCTTTAATAAATTCATTGATAAGTGGGAAAATTTATATGTAATGGATACATCAATCGTAAACATAATGATGTTAATAATTTTTCAGTAAATATTCACAAATACTAATAATTTGCAAGTAGGTTATGCAGGATGGAAAGTGAATGAAGTAGTCAAAATAGGAAAATAAAAACACGTAAAAAGAAACAATCACGCAACATTTTGTTTCTCAGTCAAATCACGGAGAAACCTGTTAATCACTTGTTTATCCAGATGTTTGATAGCAAGCTGCATTTTGGTACACAGTTAAACATTTCATTTATTCTTGCTTGTTTGAAAGTTGATCACAATAAATACTTCACTGAAAATCACTTCTTTATAAACTGTACAGGTTACATGGTGAGAAACTCACGTGTAAATTAGATCCGAAGTTCATTCTTATTTTATTGGCAACAAAATGTAGTGTAAAATCTCGTTAGATAGAGACTGTCATCTCGTTATGAATGATAAAAAAATGATGAAGGCGACTCATGAGATAATTGTGTAAAGCCCTACTCTTATCAGTGATGATTGTATTCATTACAATTATTCACCTTATAAAATAAAGGTAGCATTTCATAACTTCATATTTTGTCATTATACTAACATGATTTCTCAGTGGAAAGAAATTCACCCATGTATATTCCATGGTGAAACTATCAGTGTACGCAATATCGACCACGTGTAACCAAACATAAGCTGTGTAGTACAGTAAATTTAAAATGAATTCACTTATCGTTAGATTAATTTTATAAATTTAAATGTCTTTCGAAAAAAATAAACGTTTAATCGATGTGTAAAACTCGCCTATGAAATATTCAGCTTAGAATATGTATTGGTAAGATGGGAATTAGTGAGAATCGAACAAGTTACTATGTTGTATGAAATAGCTATATCAAATTTGAACGGGAAGCTGTAGATACAAATGATGTATTATCTACTAAACTTGATAATACTTCCTAACTAATAGTCAGTAATATGTAGATTTTATTAAAATTAATCATTAAAACAAATATAATTCAACTTCATCATATACTTCATTCCACTGATGACTTTCCACAAAGTAAAGTTAACAGCCTGAATACACATGAACAGTCATAACCAATGACACAAGAGAAAAATAAATGAGGCGTGACCAATGAACAGTACACTATAGTTTACCTTGAGACAAATACCTTGTGAACAACAACTTATGACAATTGTTAAATCATTTTATCCTGTAAAACAACTCGAATTACTTCAGATGAAGATATGTGACCATAACGGAATTGGAAGTTTGAAAATGTATTCAGTAGGAATTAAACAGGAATTAATGCGATTTGAATGTTGTCAACATTTATAATCTAATTATTATACATCATTTACAGTTATCAATGAGAAGATCTCTTAACTCACACATTAACTTCATTGATTCCAATTTAATATGTAAAAAGAATAGCGATATTGAAATCGTACCATTAGTGTACTGGTTTCCAATATGAAGGCATAGTTTCATCTAATTAAATGAATATCATGAATAAAAAGTATTCTCAAGTGAACTATTAGTCTATTTTCTGAATTTAAGTCTGGTTCCTCTTTAGAATAAATAAGAAAACTAAATATTTTGTGTGTCCTATTTCTTTCGTTTTATCAAACGTAATTAGAAGTTAGTTTCTTTAATGATTTGATATATGATTAGTATTGGAATAATTGTTGCGGTTCTCCTCTATCCCATATACATTTGCGTATATTGGATCACATCAGACATGACTTCCGACAAGAAACGGGCAGTAACCTCGTAACTGATTCACATTCCATTTCAATGTACAATGCCTGTACACTGCTCTTTTTCTAAATTAAAATCTGAAAATCTAATAAATAAAAAGAGAAGAATGAAGATGAATTTCACAAGAATCTTCACTAAGTGACTTCTGGATTTTAACAAATTCAAACAGAGGACAACTCCACCTGCATACCATTAACAGTCATTGTCGATCCCAAACCAGAATAATGCAGAAGGGTCGAGTGTGTGATTGGCAGCCACATACTGTAGAAACGAACATTGATAAAACATTGCTCAGCAGCATAAATCATATAAACCACATAAATCATATAAAACTAGATCTAGAAGTTGAAGCTTCTTCATCTAGAACATTTTGGACGCCTCATGCTTAAAGATCAGACTCTTCGGAAATCAAGAGACCGATAACCACTCTGACAACCGAAACAACAATTGACAAATGCTCATGGAGCTCACTCACAACCCAACATTCTAGTAGACATCATAAAATTACAACTTGGAGGTGATCGAAGAAAGTGAAGTCCGTTGGATGATGATTTCCAAGAAGCACCATCATCAACAATGGATCTCTATTGATCCTCTGATTAACATTCAAGAAACGAAGAGTAGGAAGACAGGAATCAACAAATACCAAACAAAATAAAGTGAAGAAGATGCATCAGGAGACTGCAAAGAAGCACATCTCATCAAGATAACAAAGAGAGTAGATCTCAGCAAGTGCGAGAATAGATGAGGCATCACACTACAGTCACTACCAGCAAATGGTTTCAAAAGAGTGTTGTTGAACCGGATGGAGGGT